ATATAATAACACAACGTTTAAAACGATCAAGCGGGTTGCGTTACTAATAATGTATGCCACTCATTATGCGCACGCATCCTTTTCGTCGAGCGTAAACTCGCTTTACGCGTTGGGTTTCACGTCGCATGATTTACGATTAATTAAGCGCCGTTACCACCATACCACCAGTACTACCAACATTACCACGTCTGTGAGTCATTTACTTTTCGACCGACCTCCCACTTCTGTTCTGTTCTGTTCTCTTCTCTTCTCTTCTCTTCTATTTTCTGTTTTCTGCCGTCCTTTACCACCCACCCTTTGTATACTCGTCATCGTGAATACAATCGAGAAATAAAAATTCAACAAAACGAATCAACTGTTTCTTTCTTGTTTTCTCTTTTTTCTTCTCGTTCTTTTTTTCTTTTGGTCTCATTACGCAAAACAATTGGAAAATTTCACCCTTGTTACACCTGATTTCTTCTAATTTGTTAGGAACTTTTTGTGAGATACTAATTAGAGTAAACGAACGATTCGATTGAGTAAGGTACACTAAAAATTAAAATAAAAATCAAAATATGAATATTGTTAATCATAAACAATTCGTAAACATAGTTTAAGATGAATCCAAGAAAGAAACGAAAAAAAGGGTACGAATGAACGTTAAGGAATATTCCTTTACGGTCATGCGTCAGAGGGTTAAGGAGAGGGCGCCTTGCTGGTCGCATTGATTTACGTTGAGGAGGATAGACAGACAGGCAAGCAAGGAGAGATGAACGAAGAAGAAGAAACAGACGTAGAAAGTAAAGAAGAAAAGGAACATGAAGCAAAGTAGAGGGTTGAGAACCTAACTATAGTCGTAGAATTGGAATCCACGTAATCGGAATGGTCGATCCCAATTGTCCTGTTTCGTTCCACCACCAAAGGGTATCCATCCAACCCCATCATCTTCCCATCCTCTTCCTCCTATCGAAGCAACCCCCCACCTTAACCAACCCCACCTCAACCCCTAACCCAACAACGGTCGCGTGGATACGTGGTCGAACCACCAGGAGGATATCGTATAATTATCGGATGGCAGGTAACTCGAACAGAGTCGTCTCGCCCGGGGTTTTAATTGGCCAATTATCGTGGCGCGAATAGGCGCTGCTGCCGGTCCAGATAGGCGTGAAACTTTTGGGGTGGCCAGCTTCACCCGTACGACACAACACGCCGCGAGACTCTTTTCTCTGACGAATATCTTTTTTCGTAGGAGGAGCAGGACGGTGAAGGGGATTGAGAAACGAGGGGAAACAGAGAAAGAGAGAGGTAGGGGGTAACGTTGACTGAACGGAAAAGCTCGGATCTTCCCTTAACCGACCTCTGTGTGTGTGTGTGTGTCCTTTTGTACATGTGTTAGGGTAGGTGTAAGTACATATACATATACGTACAGTTATTGGAATGTGTTAGATGTGCTTGGATAGTATACCTATATGCACGTAGAAGCAGAACCGAGATCAGAATCGGGAGCACGAACGGGCGCAAATTGGTCACGGCTGGTCTGTTCGATCTCGTCGTCCTATCTTCCTCTCTCTCTCTCTCTCTCTCTCTCTCTCTCTCTCTCTCACGTTTCCTCTCGGATCGTCGTTTCTATCTATCTATCTATCCAGTGTAGCAACTATCCATTCACCTATCCACTGGCCACCTAGCAAGCGAACGACCACCCCCTTCGACAAGCGGTGCACCGTTTCGGAACTATTAGGAACACTTGCCTCTCTAGTTTCCAACCAACCCCTTCAGCTGGCTGGCTAGCTGGCTGGCCTCGCTTTTGCCAGGTGGCCTAATCCCGACGTTCGAAAATTCACCTGCGCCACAGACTTGTTTCCGATTCACAAACTACACAACTTCTATTCCTATCTCCCTCTATCTTTTTTTTTTTTTATCTATTATTACACTTTTCTCGTCTTTTCACGTTTGACGTTTAACGAGCGTTCTCTTCATGGAGATTCGATACGACGATGAAAAAAAAAAAAAAGCAAACGACGAGTCAGTCTACGCTTGGTCTACGTTAGCGAGAGCTATCGGCGTCAGGTTTCGAAAGAGAAAAATCTCGATTTGGTGATTTTTAACGAGCTACATATTTATCAACAACGATTTCACTCTCACCCCCTACCTTTCCAAAAAAAAAACCGGAAATATATATATATGAAAATGAAAAACAAAAGATGATCAACGTTGAGCGTAATTTGGGAAAAAAGATTGATCGGTAGGAATACAGGTAGTATCATCATCATACGATTATCCAGAGTTAATTCAATGAGGTGTACCTATACTAAATATATATATATATGTGTGTCAAGAGAGATTTAAATCGAATTGACGTAGAACGAATGACAGATAATACGGCTAGTATATTCAATTAAAGAGAAAATGGTTGGATAGTAGAAGGAGGGAAACGTGGAAGTTCAATGTGGCAGGCAGGCAGGCAGGCAGGCTCATCTACCGGTTACGTTCGATTGGCTGGCAGGGCGGTAGGCCAGCAATTACCTAAATGGTCGGGTAAACAATATCCGTGCGCCGGAGTTAAGAGCGACGACGGTAGCAGCGACAGCAACACTGGGTTCTGCCAGTGATTCGACCGATTCGCTTTCGTTCTCTCGTTCATTCGTCCATCCATCCATCCATCCATCGGGTGTGTTGATTTTGGTTTAGTTCTCTCTACCCAATCTTCCTCTCTTTCACTCACTTAGCTAGAATTTCGAAAGAGAGAGAGAGAGAGAGAGAGTAGAACCAGAATGGGATACTATGATTATACCCCCCAACGTGATTACTATATCTACTGTACGTTCAACAGAGTGACGAAGAGAGAGAGAGAGAGAGAGAGAGAGAGAGAGAGAGAAGGGGAGAATGATGGGTGCCGCCTACAACACGGTCACCAACGCGACACTATTAACTAGGTCCGATACTACACTAACACCGATCAACAAGATCATTCCTAGAAGCCTAGTGTAACTTGCAATCACAGATACAACACAACGATTCTAGTAGCCAGCTAGCCAGCTAGCTAGCCAGCCAGTCAGCTAACCAGACCATGATTTCTCTCCGTATCCTCGACGTAACCCCGAAAGTGCGTGCGTACGTGCGTGCCTGCTTGTGTTGTGAAAGCTTGCTAAGAGCGTACGTGGGAGTGAGAGAAAGAGATAGGTAGCATTCCTCTATCGACGGAAGAACGGCAAACATTGGTGGTGATGTTGGTGGTAGTAGTAATAGTAATAGTAGTAGTAGTGACGATGGTAATGGTGGTAGTAGCAGCGGTAGCGGTGGCGGTGGTTAAATCAAAGACAAACCACTTTAGCCAGTCGGATCGTGACGAGGGGGTTGATGGGGGTGTGGTGGCTTGAGAGGTAACGCTGGGTGGGATGGGAATGTGTGGGTGGGTTTGGGTGGTATAGTCTTGTGTACATATCCGAGTATCTGGCGAAAGCTCGCTCACACTGGCGAGGACCGTGAAACGTTTGCACGCGTCTAGCTCTACTCCTATCCATTTATCTCTTTCCTTCTCTGTAGGTTTCTCTCACTCTGTCTATCTGTCTGTCTTTCTCACTCGCACTCGTTCATTCAGGCCCGAGCGTGAAAGCGCTCGACTCGAAGAGGGCAGAGAGGGTTGGTTGGTTGGTTGGTTGGTTGGTTGGCACCGTCGTCGTCGTCGTCGTCGTAGTCTCCTCTACGGCACGCGACATTTAAATGTGTGGGTTAACGGGAAGAGAGCACGTGCGTCCGCGCAACCCCCGCAAAAGGTACTATCGGCACGCCCATTGGCCGAGGAAAGAGCTTTCCGGGTGCGCGAGCCGGCCTACACTCCGCCCACTCGAGGCGGAACATCCACCCCGCTTTCTCGGTTTCTCTCATCTCGCTCGCATCTCGTCGCATCGTTCCTACGACGACGACGACGACGACGACGACGACGACGACAACGACGACGTTTTCCTCCAGAGTACTAATAATACGTCCGATATATAACCCACCTATTCTGCCACCATGGTTCTACGTGGGAGTTCTCGGCGCAGCTTTCACGGTCCGCGCATCGCATCCTCGCCTAAGGAAAGACGTCGTTGATCGGCCACGCCGAGTAGCAGCAGCACCAAGCACTAAACTGAACTACACTCTGATCGTTCTGCTGCTAAGTTGTCATTTGCATACTTTCTATACTTATACAGATTATATATCTATATATACAACATCATCTCGGTGTGTTTTAGTTGTCTTTATAGTTTTTGTGATGGATTCTCGCGTCATCGTTAGTGTCATCGAGTGAAAGTAATTGTCCAAGAATAGTTGGATGATGAGAATGAAGGAGATCGGTTAAGAGAATCATTGGTATTTTAGCTTTAAGGGTGATGTGGAGGATGCAGGAGGGTAGAATCGTGTCGCCTCTAGGACCGGTCGTCCTGCCTAGGGAGGAGGCCGACACGCGTGTTCCACTTTCGATGCCTTCCCAGGAAAGGAGGCACGTGTTGTTACACGTACGCACTGCCGATCCTTTTCTACGTTACGAAAACAACAACGTTAGGACTCAACAAACTAACGCGACTAATCAAGTATCGTCTTCCTCGCCACCATCACCACCCCATCATCATCAACAACAACCACCTAATTCGTTGTCGAGTCCTGGCGTGACGACGATTTCACCGATATTGAGATCCGTAGCAAGAACTAACGAGGATTTGGATGGGTCCAGGATTAGGGATAGAAAGAACGATGTTGATATGGAGATGGATGATGAGGATGAGGATGAAGAAGAGGAAGGAAGAAGAAAGGAACGTGACAGGGATGAAGATGAAGATGACGACGACGACGAGGACATGGACGATGAAAGGAAAACGATAGAAAGGAGAAACAGGAGTATGGGGGACGATGAGGATGAGGATGAGGAACAAGAAGAAGAAGATGAAGAAGACAGTAGAGAAAACAGGGACGAGGAGGATGTTGAAGTTGACGTTTGCAGAGAAGAAAGTCCGGAAAGTAATCCAAGTAGTCCGGTAGATTTAACAGCACCCTCGTCAAGGGGTACCGATCAACAACAACTCTTCCTTAATCCCTTCGGTACCACTCGCATGACGCACACTTTTTCTTGCGTTCAAGGAACTGGACCACCTGGTGGTGGTGGTGGTGTTGGTGTTGGTGTTGGTGGTGGTGGTGGAATTCAAACGACACCTCACAACGTGCCGCCGTCGGTCTACATTTCCGGACACGTAGCTGCTACTGGTTCCGCGGTTATGACAATTTGTTCCGGCGGTAATGCAAGTTCGCGAACAGCAACTGGAAATATAACGAGTACTACGTCAACCAATACCGTACCACCAACAACTAAAAGGTGTTTAGCATTCTCCGTTGAAAACATATTAGATCCAAACAAATTCACCGGTGGGCGGGTTATCCACAATCGGGTTCAACATCGACGTCATCGTCATCGATCCGGCAGCGTACACGAAGGTGAATAATCTTTTTTAACCACACCAGCGTGTTGTTATTTATTAACCTTCCTTTTGGTGTACTCAAAAAAAAAAAAAGATTCGTTAGATCAATCGGTTCATTTGGGGTAGGAATATACACCCATCACATATTTCGATGTAGTAGTTGAATATTTACGAGAGTAAGAATTTATATTAACTTTGGACTTTAAATCCCAGTCCTCGTAAATAGTTTACACAGAAATTTATTTGGCAAACAGATATACACTCTTGCGAGGGTTACAGAAATCTCTCATATCTTCTTCTTCTTCTTATTCGTCATTTGCTTTTTCTTCGTATTTGAAAATTATTGTTAGATATACACGAGTCAGTCGTGTGTTGTAGTAATTTTCACTAAAATGTTCATCGGTGTAAGGTTAGTTAAATTTCGTCAGTTTGGCGCCCCGTTTATCGTATTTTTCTCTTAACATTTCTTGGTCGTTCGACACGAGGAGAGGACAGTTTCGCATACATGCGTACACACCCTCTCACGTTTCTTCCTCGTTCTAACTTTAGACACTGGAAGGACGAGTTCCTCTACAAAGAAAGAAAGAAAAAGACTAAAAGAGAGAGAGAGAGAGAGAGAGAGAGAGAGAGTGAGAGAGAGAAACCAGGCAAGATTTTTCCTCCCATCGTTGGCTATTTGTGCACCTAACCTATGTATATATATATACAATATTATATATATGTTAGACTTAAGAATTAGTCAGCGCTATTCCTCTGGGATTTCACGAATACAAGTAATGGGATAAAAAGAATGTAAAAATAAGTGAAACACAGTGGGTTTTTCAGGTACCACAAACATATTCCAATTGGTGTGAATGTATTTCCAAAATGTAAGTTCAATCTGTTAGAACGATGGAACAGAATTCATGTTTAAGTAAAAAGGATTCTAATTTTTTAGAGGATGATTATGATTATTAGGTTTCAAAGTTAGACCAGATGATAATCATCAGAATAAATCATAATATTAGACTCCTGATGAATTCTTCGAATACCCCAATTTCACCCTCATTGATTGATAATCAAAAAATACTTAGAATACTTGAATTATTATCATTAAACTATAAATCATAATAATCATCGTTAACCGACCCAAACATCAGCTTAGAAAGTATTACACTTGGTTTAGGAAAAAAAAAAAAAGAAAAAATTCAAAAGGGATATCTTTCGAATGTTCATTGGCCCGACTAGTTGGGTTGGAATAAATGTCCCGAAGGGTGCCAATTTCACAGTTGACTTTCGAATTTAATGGAGTCTGGCAGACAGATAAGCGACGAAGAAGAAGAAGAAGAAGGTATCTCTAACCTTTGGCGATAAAGGTTACGAAGAAGTATCGGAATTGAAGAAAGAAGAAGAAGAAGAAGAAGAAGAGGGTGAACATTTGAAGAGAAAAAGAGATGGATACAGTACTGAAGTAGGGCTGTCGGAGCGTGACAAATTGCTTCGCTAATCTGCGTTAACCAGTCCTTGAATCCCCGTCCCCCCCCCCTGCCTTCCCCCTACCCCGTACCCCTTCCTATCATGATCGTCCCTTTATCCCGGCATGGGACAACGGACAAGATCAGCCCTAAACTTGTCCATCTTCCGCGTACCAACAAAAACTATTGATATCTATATTGGACTGTACATACACGGAAGTATGTGTTTTATACCCAGAAAAAAAAAATTTATATATATATATGTATATGTATATATTCATGAAAACGTAGGAATGTTAATGAATCGTTAATTAAAATAAATCCGAAAGAGAAAGAGGTTTGTTCAAACAAAAAAAAAAATAAAACACACACACACACACAAAGTTACATTATGAATATTAAAAGAGTATGATGAAATAATGAAACCCAGAAAGAAAAAAAAATCCGAAAAAGAAGATAAATGGACGTTTAATAAAAAAGTAAATCGATTATTAAAAATAACGTTGTCCAATTTGATGGTGGCTGAACCGTATTATTATGAGATCATTTTTAATAACATATTTAACTTGTTACATATGAAAAAAAAAAAGAGAGTAAAAAAAAAAAGAAAAGAGAAGGATGAGTGAGAAGAAATGATATCTGTATTTGAGAGGGATGAAGTGAGAGAACGAAGAGGGTCTCTGAAGGGGTAGGGGTTTGGGTTGATCGGATCGATCGTACGATGAAAATCGGAATTACACGATCCTCGTCGAGCAATCCATCTTATAGGGGGGTGGTCAGAGGTTCCTATTAAAAGTGCATCAGTGCCAGGGCCGATCGGTAAAATCCGTTTGGAACGCGTGTGGTAGTAGTTGAATGAGAGAAAGAGAGAGAGAGAGAGAGAGCGTGTCGAGTTTTCCAACCCCCGAATCCGCCGACGGAATAATATCGTCGGTTGTTATGATAATCGGTTGGCATCACACCGTATCCGCGTCTCGCATCAAACCAAGCCGCCCAGAAAATTGGCTCTTCTGCATCACAATGACTTTCTATCTCTCTCTCTCTCTCTCTTTCTATTCTATCTCCCCGTTTCCCTACTCCTACCCCATGTCGTACTCTCTCTCTTTCTCATACTCACTCTATTTTCTACCCCCTACCCACCACCCTAGTAGCACAAGCTCTTCTTCTCGTCAAACGTCCTAGTGTGATTCTCGGCTTTTCGTACTTCGAAATCCATTCGACTTCCGCTACATTTCCTAGCAAGTTTTTAATCACAGTCTAGTCTAGTTATTTTTTTTTAGTTTGGGTTAAGTTTTATAATCGAATGAGTTTGGGTTAAATTGATTATCAACTTGTTTCTTTCTCATATCAAATATATTACGCGTTGAAAAATAATTTTATTAATTTAACTTTGTAGGTAGAACGATACGCCACTATAGTGGCCACTATAGTTTGTGGATACCATTTTTCAGTATGATGCGTCACTATAGTGACTTTCGCGGATTACATTTTTCAGTAGGATGTGTCATTATAGTGGCTTTCGCAAATATTTTACAGTAATTTATTATTTATTAGAAATTATTGATTTTCTTAAAAGTGTACTACAAATATATATAAAATTATTAATTAATTATTATTAACATATCTTATTAACCACGTGACTTATACAACCAATAAACCACATAGTCACTTACCACGTGACTTTTACGACCAATAAACTACATAGTCACTTACCACGTGACTTACAACCAATAAGAGTTAATATTAAAAGTACAACAACAACAAAATTTGTCTAATATACATTTTCTATTTTATCATTTATTCATTTCAATAAAAATAAATAAAATAAAGTATAATTATATTAAAATATAAAATTATTAAACAAATAAATAAACTTATTTGAAATGATATAATAATAAACTGAACTATAAACAGAATACAATGGAATCTTTTAGGTTAGATCATTGCCAAGATTGAACATTTGTGCTCTTTGAACGATAAAATCGCGTATAGGGAATATTTGTTCGTTCTTGAACGTCGTTAAACACCGGCACATTGTGTTTAATGAGGAAAACCGAGACGAGATAAGTATTCCCGAACGGTTCCAGAGAGACTTGGTACACTAAGTCCCAAGTGTACCCCCTTTAACGTACCCCCTGGGAACACGCAACCAGGCCAGCCAGCCATCCCCCAATCGTTTCTCTGTTGTCGCCCTTTTTCAACCTTCCTAAAAGGGAGGAGAACGAAAAAGACCTAAGCGATATAAATGAATTTCCGTCAGTTATTATTACATCCCTTTCTGTACTTTAACGAGCCAATGATTTCTCATTATTTAAGAATATAAAAACATAACTTTAGAATATAAACCTAATCATAGTCATTTTTTAACGTAATAATATTATTTTAAATTAGCACGTTTAATGCCACGTTAATTTTAAAGGAATTTTTATTAGGGCGTCACTGGTAGCACCTATGGCGTCACTGCCAAGTTGAGTACCGGTCACCTGTAACTCTCGTGGCACTCAACGTGTTCAAATAACAGATGAATTATGCTTATCAATAATAAAATAAAAATAATCAAAGTGGTACAATAAATATTTTTAAAAAAAAGGAGATGGAGGGGGGTGGTGATAATAGGAGAGAGAAATAAAAAAAAAAAGAAATCCATTTAACAGTTAGATCAGATTCATCCACGTTAGACCGATAAAAAAATACCGAAGAAATGACTAGATAGGTAGAGGGACAATTGAATAAGGAAATGAAGGAATGGTAGAAGGTAGTTGGTTGTTGAAAGAAAAAAAGGGATGAGACTAGGAAACAGTTGCATAATAATTTCCCTTACTTTCTAGGCGTTGAGTCGTGCTGACGTTTAACGAGTTACCGAAGCTCGTTATTATCAACAGCAACGTGTTTTTTTTCCCCCCCTGTAAATATGTACGGAAATAATAAGAAAAAGAAGAACCCCCCCCCCCCCCCCCCGCCTTCCCCGTTTAAATGAACCCCCTATTCCAACCCCTTTAACAACCAAGAAGAAAACTGTAAATTTCTAAAAAGAGATGAACAGAGAAAGTGTTACTGCAAGAAAAAGAGAACTGGAAAGAAACGAATGAAGAAAAGAAAGTAAAAAAAAAAAGGGACACATTTCCTTTGATGAGAGGAAATAGAACCTGGGGGAAGGGGGGTGGCAGGAAGGGGATGGATAACCGATAGTAGTAGGTAGTTCTCTGAGAAAGAGAGTAAAAAAAAAAAAAAAAAAACGTGTTAAATATATAGAATGATCGTTTAGTTTTACTAACATGAACGATTCACGTGAAAATCAGGNAAAGAGAGTAAAAAAAAAAAAAAAAAAACGTGTTAAATATATAGAATGATCGTTTAGTTTTACTAACATGAACGATTCACGTGAAAATCAGGAAAGAAATAGAATAAAAGGAATCGTTTTCTAGGGACACGGAACAACGATATAAATTACGCAATTCAATTAAACGCGATCGATCGGTTTCGTGTAGGTGATGCTGATGGTGGTGGTGGTGGTGGTGGTGGTGGAAAACTCGGTAAAAGAAAATGAGAGAAAGAGAGAGAGAGAGATAAAAAAAGAAATAAAATGAATAAAAGTAGAAAGAAACGAATAAAGTGAATTGTGCACATAATTATGAAATTGGTCTAAGTCATATATATCTTTATTGCACATTTTATAAATGAATTTTTTATTTATAATATATTGAAACAACAAGACAATATCTAATCAGTTGATTTTTTATTAAATATCGTGACAAATGTTTACATTAAATTTATTTTAATTTATAAAATAATGTGTAACGTGTGTAACGTAACTGATAAACTAATTATTTACACTTTGTTTTAAGTTTTTTAGGTTAGGCACAGTTGAATGTTGGTGCGGGATTGTTTCTCTGTACGGAAGGAGTTCAAATACATTTTAATCAATTTTTTCATCATTAAATTATACTATAACTTAATAATTAATATAATAAAATTAGATATAATATGTTTTAAAAGAGATTATTCGCAAAAACCCCTATAGTGGCGCTACATACTGGAAGATGGCATTCGGGAAATCCCCTATAGTTAGTTGCACGTAGTACTGGACGATGGTATTCACAACTCGCCACTATAATGGTACATCGTTCTACCTAAAAGGTTCAATTTTGATTTAGACCACTGTTCATTTAATTATGAGAATAATTGAACGATGAAAAAGTGAGAAGAATTAGAGATATGGAAATAGAAGAAATAAAAGGGTTAAGGGGTGGAATGATAATAGTGTGATAGAAGTAATAGAATAAGAATAAGAATAAAAATAGTAAAGAAAAAAAGGGAGAAAGGTGGTAGCCAGGTTGAGTGGGCTGTACGACGACGACGACGACGACGACGACGACGACGGTAAGGGGGTTGAAGTGGGGGTTAGAATGGAATGGGATGAGGAGTGTGGGTGGGGGGCAAGAACGATCGCGCGTTAACGAGATACAAATCCCATTACGGGGTAAACCTTCTCGATCCGTCGCCCCCTACGGACTTTCAGCCCCCAGGCAACAGCCGCAGTACTGGGCTATGGGCTATGGGCCACGAGCCACGCCAATTCGGATAAAATCTTTCTATCTCACTCACTCTCATTCACTCACTCGCTCACTCATTCTTGTATCCCGGACCTATCTGTCTATCCGTCCCTCTCACTTTCTCCGTTAAACTCGTATAATAGAAAGAGAAAGAAATAGAAATAGAAAGAGAGAGGTCTAACCTAACCAACGTCGCACGCTTCCGATATTCTCTCATTCAAACCACCATTCCGACCTTTTCTCTCTCTTTCTCTCTCCCACGCAGTTCGATTCAACTATTCCTGTCTCTCTCTCTCTCTCTCTCTCTTTTTTTCTCTTTCTTTCTCGTCCAACAAACCCCCTCTCGCAAGCATCCTCTCTTCCACCTCCTCATCCTCATCATCATCATTCTCCTCCTCCTCTTCCTCCTCTTTCTCCTCCCAGGGGCATCCCCAAGCTTCAGCATGGACCAGAGAGCCAGGGAATATCTGTCCCCGGGACATCTGCGTGCTGATTGAATCTCCAATCTCCTCTCTCTCATTGAACGAACGATTGGCCGGCCACACTCTTTCTTTCTTTCTCACTCTCACACACACCCTATATCTATCTATCTATCTACCTATCTATCTATCTATCTATATATCTCGTTTTTTTGACTCGTTATCGTTAACGATCATTTGGTCGATCCTACACCTATCTCTCTTTTTTCTTCATTTCTTTTTGTTACACAGTAAAAAGATATTTTTTTGTATTATATGTTTCAAGAAGAACATCAAGGAAACAAATCTGTCTTACCGGTGGGGTAGGAGTGGGTGGGAGGAAAGTAGTATCATACAGATCGAGAGACGACCACTGAAAAAGGGGGACTTTATATAAGATACGTAAGTGAGAGAGAGAGAGAGAGAGAGAAATATCGCAAGTAGTATCACGTTACATTTTCCAACGAAGGAAAACCGACACTCCCGTTGCCGACAGCTACGCAATTTTGTGTCCCTAGTATAATAAATTTTCGTCACGCGACACCTTCTCGCAGGAAACGAATGTACGAACGAACCTAACTCATGACGCGCGAACATCACGCTTATTATTGCTCTTCAGTATCGTTTCCATTCCCTAAAGTAAGAGGAGACACTCATGGATTCATATGATAGGAAAGATTATGACTGACTGACTGACAATCTTTTTCCTTGCTTTCAGATGGAGACTCACGTGGAGAGTTTGCCTGTGGCAGCGGTCAAGAGGACGAAGAGGGAAATGTTGAAACTGGGATGGAGGAAACTGAGGAGGACGTGGAAGAGGACGACGAGGAGGAGGATATAGAAATGAGAGTAGTGGTCGATCGTGACCCCTCTAACGTAACACGTGACCTAGGAAATCAGCCCTCTATTGGTTCTAATAATAACAATAACAACAACAACAATAACAATAATAATAATAATAATAACGGTGCATCGAACGGTTGCAAGAAGAGACAATCCTCTTCCTCGTCGTCCTCATCGTCGAGCGGCATCCAAATACAAAACTGTCAGAGTCAAAATGGTCAAGAACAGAACACTCAAAACGGTTCGAATAATAGTGGGGGTGGTAGTGGTAGTGGTAGTGGTAATAGTGGTGGTGGTAGTGGTAGTGGTGGTGGTAACAACGGTGGTGGTAGTACAGGTGGTAAACCAAGAAGAGCTAGGACTGCTTTCACTTATGAACAATTGGTAGCATTGGAGAACAAATTTAAGACTACGAGATATTTGTCGGTATGCGAACGCTTAAATCTTGCATTGTCGTTGTCATTGACGGAAACTCAGGTTAAAATTTGGTTCCAAAATCGACGGACCAAGTGGAAGAAACAAAATCCTGGATTGGACGTTAACAGTCCAACCGTACCAACGACCCCACCTCATCCGTCACCTTATGCACCTGCTTTCTTATTCGCAACCCATCCACATCAACATCCTTTGCCGCATTCTCACGCGCATCCTCATCCACATTCACACGCGCACGTACATCATCCGTCGGCGGTTGCACCTCCACCACCACCACCCGGTTATTATCATCATCCTGCAGCACCACCAACGGCCTATGCTCCACCAGGAGCAGCAACCTTTTTCGGACATCACCTTCCTACAACGCCTACGGCAGCAACGGCCTCTGCTGCATCTGCGTCAGCAGCAGCTGCAGCTGCAGCAGCAGCAGCAGCGGTAGCTGCAACTTCGACACCTTCCTCAACCTCGGTATTGGCCCTGTCATCTCACACACATACTCACGCAGCACATCCACAACAACATCCTCACGCCCATCCGCACGCGTAGCGAACTCGAAAATCCTCATCCATGATCGAATCTTATTCTTCTTCTTCTTCTTAATAAGGATCAATTTGCGATAGAAAACAAAGAGATGAACAATTTTTATTCACCTTTGTAAAAATATTCCATTTTATTTCACTGAAAGAAGGAAGAGAGAACAAGAGATTACAATCAAATCCTTTTTGTCTGACTTGTCATTCAGGCCATTTTGATTTTAAATAAATATGTCTAAGTGTATCCCACTGGTGGTATACGGGGCACGGAACGTGTTAAAAAGTAAAAGGTTTTGATGAACAAAACGTATCATGTTATTTGATTGTTTTTTTTGGCTAATCTTTTCTTTTATCATTCTCTCTCTCTCTCTTTCTTTTTTCCACCATCGAAAAAAATATGGGGGAAAAGATAAAGTAGATTCTATCCCATAAAAAAGAGTTTGTAGCTTTAAGGTATGCGTGTGACCAGTGAGTGAAATAATACGTCCGAGTGAAATTTAAATATACCAAAGTGAAAGAGAAAAAACTATAGTGCGTGCGTGTATGTGTGTGTGTGTGTGAGAGAGAGAGAGAGAGAGAGATAGTATGCAGGTGCAAATACGCGAGAAATCAAAATGAATTTAGCGAAAAACACACTAATATACACGCGTCAACTTTGAAACAAACACAAAACATAAATCCATACATTTATACACGTACATAAAATACACATACATCACAGAAACACACACACACACACATGGATAGGAGTTTGGTGGAGCACACGGGAATACAAGGACAAATTTATTGTGCTGAAATTGTGGAAAAACGAACGACGTGAGGCGCCAATGAGCGTTTCTCTGTAAAATAAATGCCTACCATACGTTACGCTCGTAAAACCTTTGCCAAAACGTGAGTTCCATGTGACACGTGGTGGGGGAGTGGGGGGAGGGGAGGAGACACGAGGAAGACCGATTTCAATGCTTCGTTCGGACCGTTTCTCTAAAATGAGTAAGAACGAGAAGATCCGACTATGAATAAATAGCAGGTTGGGATAAAAGCCTTGTAAATTTGTGTGTCGTTACCTGTTAAATCACCGTGACGATGAAACACTTATATAAACTTTCAAAGAGAGAGAGAGAGAGAGAGAGAGAGAGAGACGGTCTGACGAACGATTAAAATCGATCTACAATCGTATTAACTCGTTAAATGCCACGGGAGTCACCGATGACCGGTACTTAACTTGGCAGTGATGCCATGCGGGCCACCGGTGATCGGTACGCACATATTTAATAGAAATTTAGATATATAATTCACAACTTGGCATACTGGAACAATCCCAGTAAAATTGGCGTGGCATTCAACGTGTTAATAAACCCTTTTTTCTTTTCTTTTATTTAAATCATCTTTATCAATTATTATATGTGATATTAATTTATCTACAACGAGACAACTAAAACCACCTTCATCGTCAGACACCTACGTAATCTAAAAAAGGGTAAAACCATTTTTGGGAATCTACGTGGGATGATATGCGGATTGTGGATTTTTCGTTATATTGGTAAAATTAAATCAAAAGTTAAACAAATTGTTTATAAGGTAGGTACTTATTATAGATATATGTGTTTTGAGTATTGAAAATAATTGTTTGGTTCAATAGAAAAGTACAAGTAACTTTTCTTGTTTTTTTAATTGGAGACAGAGAAGTGTATGAATGAAAATTAAAGCAATTACAATGTCTTGCAACTAATGACTGATTTATTTTGAAAAATAATTATGTTACTTGTACAACCTTTTTGAATGTTTTGTCAACCATACAATTATAAATTTCAATCTAATCATATTTTATAAGAATCAGTAGTGTTTGTATTTTTATTTTAATTATCATTAATTAAGGTTTAGTTTGAAAGATGAAGATTGTTGTTTAAGTTTGAAGATGAAAATTGTTGTTTAAGTTTGAAATTGAAGATAAAGAGAAAAATACAAAAAAAAAAAAAATAGAAAGAAGAGAGAGGAGGAACCTTTTTGAAGGGAACGACAGGAAGAAGAAAAAAGTTGCGTTTAAAACGTGTTCGGCCATTAGACGACCGGATGACGAAGAATATGATGACAAAGAAGAATAAAAATAAAAATAAGAATAAAAAGAAGAAGAAGAAGAAACTTCACGTAAGATTATTTCTCGTCTTTGAAGAAGGCACACGCGTTCTCGCGCGTGGCTCGAAAAGGACAAGGGACGTTTGTTCGACTTTCTCTCTCTCTCTCTCTCTCTCTCTCTCTCTCTCTCTCTCTCTCTCTCTCTCATCCTTCGAGCTGGCCAAGTTCGATCGACGGAAAATTGCTCGTGGTTGGTTCTCTTTGATGCTAAATTTAGTAGGTGTCTCCTCTTCTACTATTTCTTCTTATTCTTCTTCATCATCATCATCTTCTTCTTCTTCTTCTTCTTCGTTTTTCTTCTTATTATTATTCTTCGTACTTTCAACACGTGCAAAAGTTCTCTATATAATTTTCCCTTGACAATTTTCTTAGTAACTTCTTAGTTACTTTATTTGGTTACTAGAAAGATATCACACATACCTATATGAATATTAGGAATTTTAACCTTTGCTTAGCACACTTGGTCCAAAGGAC